AAAACGCCTCCGTAAGCCACATCTACAATCATGGTTCCTCCACAAGAAGACTTAACACTTGCATTCAACACCAAACTTGGTAATGCATGCAAAGTATTACATTAGCAGTAGGCATCCATTGTTGACCTTCGATAAATTACACAGGATCCTTGTTTAGAATTGTTTCTTTCACTAGCAGTATCCCGTGCATGCTCACAGGACGTAGACTCACGCGTTGCAATTCTATCTTTGCCATCCATTTAACCATTGTTTGAAGCTTACACTATTTTAGTAAATGTTCACTGCTATTTGAATGGCCCACAACTTTTAAATGTCGGCACAGGAGTTTCGTATTCAGTTCCTGATCTTAAGGAGTAATACTTTGCTCGTATTAGAAAAAGTAGACCTGAGTCACTACTGTGAATCACCAAGCTTTGCGTTTTAACGTTTGAGCGCCACGCCACCACAATTGGGTGCGAGCTGAAACGGATGCCAGGAGTAGGTGCACACACGCGAGGCGGTCGTACCTGTGCTTATAAGAAAACATGTGCAGACTGAGGACTCAAGAAGATGACCTCCATCGATTTACAATAGAAATTAGCCAGATAGAAAACAATAACAACAAGGCTAGATAGTAAACTTGGTGGTGTGAACTAAAAGAGATGCGAAGCAAAGTAAATCCTCTTCCATAGCTTTTTAACTACAAATACCTCAGCTTAATAATCTGGAAGAATCTATAGTAAGAGAATAAACGCACCTCCAAATTCAATAGCAGTACGTTTATGCAGAGAGCAAAGAGGACACAACAGAGCGTGACAGAAGCCGAAAGGAAGTATAGAATGCGTCGTTTGGAGGCTGGAAAGTGTAGTTCCATCTCACCCTTGATAGGACAGACCCGCAGAGTGCCTCGAAACGCGGGCCTCAACTGCTCCATGTGCGTGCTCACCCAGCCCGACATATCAGCCGCATTCGCAAATACTGGCGACATCCAATCCTCTGCAAATTGTGATTGCTGCCGGCGCCAGATTTTGTTACACGCTAGAGCCCAAGTTACCACCATCAGACCATAGCCGATTCGAAATATGGGTATCGTAGGCAGTTCTGCGGACTGGTCAGGGTAAAGGACATTAAATATCGAAACAAGGAGCCAAGTAAGAAGACCCACGCTGGAGGGGAAGATAAGCGAAAGGCAATAGCTGCGTAGCCAGGCAAAGTAGAAACCAATAGCATCCCCAAGATACCAACGTAGCCG